TTTTGTGCTGCAAGGTGGAAAACCTCCTTCGTCTTCCCTAGCTCCGCAAACCCCAGCCCACCCTCAAAGCTCGCCTAGTGCAGGTCCCGGTTCTCCTACCTGTGCCGGGGTTCTCGGGATTCCCGGAGCTATCTTCAGACCCGAAGGACCAAAAGCCGGAGCCGGGAGATGCCATTGGCGCTGCGAGACCGGAGCAGATCTCCTCCGAGTGCGAAGTGTCGGAGAGCTGCTTTCGGCTCGGTCCTTCGCGCGTGCGTATGTGTGGCGGGAGGAGGGCACCACGCGACCGCGCGGCAGAGGGTGGATGTCACTCAGGGACAGGGAATGTGCGTGTCTGCGTGCGCTCGTGCGCGCGTGTGTGTAGGCGTTAGGGCTTTGAGACGTGACAACACTCTGAAAGCTGGGGAGGTTAAATAGGGAAGGGGACAGAAGGGTCCTCACAGCCAGGAGATGGGAAAGTGCTGAGCGCCTGAGAGATTTTGAAGGCGAGGGAGCCCAATACGGATGGATGAGGGGCGGCGGAAGGGAAAATTGGAGAGGGAAGGAGACGAATGGTGAGGGTGAGAAACAGACAGTACGCACGAGCTGGAGTCGGAGTGAGTGGGTGGGAGGTGTGCAGGCGAGCTCCCGAAAAGGCGAGGTGAAAGGGTGCGGGCTTTCACTCTGGGTCCGGATGCGCTGTCCAGGGTGCTAGCGCGGCTAATTGCGCGCTGGCCTCATCGAAGGGTGGACCAGAGAGACCTCGGCGAGGCGGGAAGGGTGGCTGAGAGGAGTCTTATATACGCACGGATTGGCGTATTGTTTGAGATCTAGCTCTGGCCGGGGAGAAGGAGGCGCGGTTCCCGCGCCGCCTGCATTCAGGAGGGTGCTGAGGTCGCAGTGACCTCGAGAGCTCGAGCGTCTGGGCTGGAATTGGGAGCCGTTCTTGAGCTTGGGGAGGGGATGGCGGAGGAGGGACGCCTACGGGCTTAAGGGCACATTTCAGCTCCTCAGTAGCGCCTAATGCCAGCCTACTGAGCCGCCAAATCCCCGGCGGTGCACTAGTCCTGAGCCTTCGAGCGCGCAATCGCCAGACCCACCGTCCAGGTTCTGACTGACAGCTGGGTAGAAAGACTGCCGATTGAGGCAATTAAAATCCATGTTGGAGTCTATCACCGAGGACCTGGGACTGGGAAAAACAAAACAAAACAAATGGAAACTTCTTGAAAGGGGGAGAGGAAGAGCTGGGAGGGAGAGCAGTTAGAGTCAGCAGGACTGATAGTAGACGGGGGATGGGATCGGGTCATTTGGTGACCTTGACCTGCGGCAGGGCGGAAGGGCCACTTCTTAGGTATGACAGGACTCGGTGTATGCGTGGTAGGCGTGCACAGTTTCCAACTAAGCAATCTGGGCTTTCCAAATCCGAAGCGAAAAGCTGCATCTCCTGCTGGGCCCTCTTTTTAGCGGGCCTGAAAAAGCAACCCCTCCCCCCTCTTGAGAATGTTTAGTATAGCGGGTGTGCGTGTGTGTGTGTGTGTGTGTGTGTGTGTTGGGGATTGACTATTTCTGTGGCCTATTGAAAACGGGTTTCTCCTTTCCTAAGGAAGTTAGAGTCTTTCATCTTAAAATTTCCTTTCTCTAAAAACTGTTAAAAAAGGGAGGGCCCCCTGAGGGTTCGGAGCGCGTAGAATTCGCGCTGCTTTCCCTTTAGCAGTCGAGAGCAGAGTCCTGCACACCAAGCGGTTCCTGGACAGGCGGAGGAAGGGCGAGAAGGGCCCGGAGCGAAAACGGCTGCGTGCAGCCTCCCGCGGCGTTCATTCCCGGCGTACCGCTCCCCTTCTCTCCTTGGGCGAACGTTTTGCATTTCCATTGTGTTCCAGCCACTCTTTCTCTGACCTCCTAACCAAGACACCAAAGTTGCTGCTAAGCAGAGATCCACGGATCCTCAGTCCTGGCTACCACCTCTCGACCTTAGCTTAGGAAGGGCGTCATGGGGCCAGGATGGCTGCGTGCAAGTTCAAGTCTTGGGTCCCCAGGCACTTGGGCCTGGTCAATTCTCTACACAAAGCTTTGTCCTCTTCCCTTTTGCCCGAGCCGAGCCTAACAGAGCCGTTGGATCTGTACCGTGGCCGCAGGGCCCGGGCTGGGGGAGGGGACAGGGACAGGGACAGGGAAGGACGCAGAGCCGGATGTGTTCAGAAGCCTGCACGAGGCCACGGGCGCGCGGTGGGCACCAACCCAGGCCTCAGTTTGCCCCCTCTTTCCGGCACTCCGGGCACCAATGCTCCAGTGGGTCCAGGTAACAACTCTGGCGGTGTAATGACTCGGTGGTTCCATCGTCTGAGCCGCGGGCAGGGCAGCTCTGCAGCTCTCGCTTCAACAGTGCTGACACACGTTCTTTGTTTAAGTCCACACCAAATCCTGCAAATGTTCGCTTCAAGCCAGCAGGCTGGGTTGGCAGAATTTTAATATTACGGATGAGTGGTCGAAAACAGAAGGATTCTTAAAAAAATTTTTTAAAACACACACAAAGCCCTGAAGGAAGAAGCGGATTAAAACATGAGGAACGTAGAATTCACACCTGGATTTCACTGATTTTTAAAAACGCAATGACTTAAAATTCTACTCCATTACATCTCGCAGCTCAGGAATACTTTGAATCGAAGGGTAGTATTTGCATTTTTTTTATTTAATACCCCTACTTCAGATGCACTCGGGATCGGATTTGTCCTTCTTAACGCCATCCCTCCCTAGACGGCAATTTGCTTTATAATCACTTTTATTTCGCAGAAGAGCCCACTCCCCCTTCGCCCGGCTGGGGTTGGCGATAACAAAAGCGCTCAGGGAGGTAATAATTGCAGTCATTAGTTCACAAAGGAGGCAACCAGGGGGAAGGGGAAGGGGAAGGGGAGGCGGGCCAGCGCTGGGGAAAGCTTTTCAAGGCCCGTCCTGGCTAAGGGAAGAGAGGCCCATGCTCCGGGCCGGCTTCCTCAGTTGACCTATTTTTTTGGGGGGGGGGGGGGTCCCTGATTTACACAAGAGATCGCGTTACAGGCTCACCAAAGAAGAGTGTATCGTGCAGTTTTTCCCTTACGTCCTCCCAGTGCTTACATGTTGAAGGACAGAGAAAAAAGGGAGGTGGGAAAAAAGAGAAAGGAGAGATAAATAAAGAAATAGAAAAGAAAAACAAAAACCATTGATCTTTTCACCTAACGCTTGCCATTTTCCCGGTCCACTTTAAAAATGTGTGTGTGGGTGGGCGGAGTGCCGGGAATATTTAGGGAAAGGGTCAGTTTCCTCCCTTTGCAGTAACTTTAGGGCCAGGCTGCCTGGGCTCTGGTCTGCAGGGGCCACTCGGAAATCCTGGATTGAAGACGCGGCCAGGCTGCAAGCTCGGCTTGTACCCTCGAGGCCTCCACGTGGTGGCTGGAAAGCTGGGTGGGGGCGGAGGGCTCCAAGCCACCTCTGGTGACAGGGTTTCCGCCCTCCCAGACCCGCCAGTGAACCGTGCCTTGCCGCGCAGGTTTCCTAGGTGCCTGCGCCCGGCAGCGCCCGGCCACACGCCACGGCTACGACGTGGGTCCGCACAGCCTCGGGTGGCTCCTCCCTCCGGGTCACAAACCTGGGCGGGGGCGGGGGCGCAAACCCCGGGAAAGCGCAGAACGTAGAGCGCACTTGTTCTTGGAGCTCAGCCCCGCCGAAGTGGGAGGTTTCCCCTCGGGCTGGTCTCACTTGTAAAATGAAGGGTTTGTACGAGTCATCTCAAGGGACCTGTCAGTGCCAACTCTTTGGGTTGGAGAAAAGATCTTGTTCGGTGGGCGAGACGCACAGCAAACGTTATCAGCCGGCTGCACTGGCCCTCAACCCTCTGCTCGAGTATTTCCTCAAAGTCTTCTCGGCCTGGGCCAGGGTTGTAGGAGCCGGGGACGCCGGCAGAAGGGAACAGCCCCATCCCAGCCAGAACCTTCCTCCCAAGTAAGTCATCGATGAAATCACCGCGCCACCCTTCCTTGCCCTCTCCGGGTTGTGTGGACACGGAGGGTGTAAGTTTCATAGAAGAGCTCAACCCAGATTTTAAAATAAAATGCATCAACCGAAGAATGCAAACCTCTACCCACCTCCTGCCCTCCCCTCCATCTCAAATTCACCAAAAGTCAGAACATTGGAGATTGCCCCAAATTTGCAGGCGTGGAGAACCTAAAACATCTGACAGTTCACTCAGTAGTAGACCAAAAATTTTACAGCGGGCCAATGGAAGCCACAGTGTTTGGGAAGGCCGCGCGCGCGCACAGTGTTGGGTGATTTGAAAATCTGTCTGGAGGCCACATTTGCGTCGCAAGTAGGGGTTACTACTTCATCTGTGTGTTCCGGGTGATGGCGGTGGGGTTGTTCGCTGACAGAGCACCTCACCTCCTCTCCGGAGTTGGGCCCCAAAGGGAAACACAACGGACCAGCCCTGAAAGCCATGGACTCTCCAAGGCACTTCTTTATTCAATAACCTTAATATTAAGCTAAGGGAAAGGAAAGCACGAGTTTAAGATAAAGTTCACCTTCAAAACTTGCACACCATGCTTGAGCTTCTTCTCCCACCCCGGGTTTATTCCGTTCTTACAGACTCGGCCCGCCCGCGACTGTCCATCGGGCCTGGGAGAGGCGTTTTCATGAAATAAGAAATTTTTTTGTCACCCAAAATGGGAGAGGAGGAGTCAGCAAGAGCTCAGGCACCGTTGGGTTCTCAGAACTCGCACACAATTGAACAAAGAGACATATTGGGGGCCGGGGACAGGGAGCCTCAACTGGTGTGCTGGCGGGAGTGGAAGCTGCGGGAGCGCTGCGAGTCGGCGTCCGAAAAGCTCCTTGGTCTCCGCCCTGCGAGCGCCAAAGGGCACTCACAGTGGGCGAGCGCCGCGGGCAGCCCTTGTCAAGGTCCAACCCGAGACTTCAGGGCCTGACGGTCCTCCCCTTGGGCACTTGCACCCCGCAGTCTCAGGCACATTTCGGCGGCTACTGTGGCAGCAGGGCTACACCTGCTGGACCAGGCGCCGGCGCTGCGAGGTTTTGCGCAGGAGCTTCCTGTAGTCGTAGGGGTTGCTCGCGGGTCCATTCTCCTCCTCCTCCGGGTTCTCCACGGCCCAGCACCTGCGAGCGAGACCCAGGGCCCGAGCGTCACTGGCGCCAGCGCGCGCAGCGCATCCCCGCCCACCCCGAGTTAGGCGGGTCCTCTTCTCCCTTTCTCCCACTGTCTGCGGGCATTTGAGAACGCACATTCCACATTCTAAACGTCGGGATCCTGATCAAAAGGAACTGCGATAACTTTTCTCAGCAGGTTTTCAAAACTCCTCTGAGCCGAGGAGCAAGGGCTGGCGGAATCTGGTGGCTTTGTGTTTGACTGACCCCTAAGCAAATCATCAGAATGTGTAGTTCAGAAAGGCGAGCTTCTTTTGGCTGGAAATAACTCACACCCAACAAACAAATACTTACATTAGCTGCCTAATGGATAACCATTATTTTGCATTTTTTACACTGCTCAAATGTGTCTTAAAAATGCTCCCATCATATGTAACTAACCTCTTTGTTAGCGACATCGTTGTTGTCAGCTCTGTTAGCTTTTTCAGTATTTTCAATGAGGCTGTTGAGCCAAATTTCCTAAACCCACTGCAGGGAACCCTGCCAGCGTTTACCTTTGGACTCTGCAGCTTCCCTGGGTAAGGAGGGTGCTACCTAAAAGGCAGCTACGGAGATTCATCCATTTTATCCAGGGATCACCCAGTGTCAGCCGGCAGCGCAGGCGATGAGGGGATACAAGTCCCTACTCTCATGGAGCTTATAGGCGAGTATGGGAGAGGACCAGAGCCAGCTTTTAATCCCAGATGGTGAGCAGTGCTAGACACAAATAAAGCAGGCTAGTGGGGGAAAGAGTGATGTCATGTGTGCGCCTGTGTGTACACACCATTTCACAGAAGGTGATCAGGAAAGGCCTCTCTGATAAGGCAAAGGTGATGGCTGAGGAGAGACCAGAAGGAAGGGGAGGAGTAAGCCAGGAAGCTCTCTGAGGGAAGGGCAGCTATTCCAGCATGCCAGTCAAACACCGTAAAGGTTCCAAGAGTACAGTGTGTTTATTGTGTTCAAGGAACAGGAAAGAGGCCACTGTGGCTTAAATGGAGGAAGCGAGAGGAAGAATAGCAAGGGATGAGAGTAGGAAGAGTGAGGGGATAGTATGGCATGTAATTTAGAGCTTTGAGACCATGGTAAGAACTTGAACTTTAGAGTTCTGAGTGGAGGAATGATTCATAAAAAGACCTGGCTGGCAGAGTGGAAGTCAGTAGACTTGTTAAAAGGTAACTGCAATAGTTCAAGCAAGACTGATAATGACATGTTCTAGGCTTACAGAGGAGGTAAGAATTGACCAGATTCCAGTCATACTTGGCAGGTAGAACTGAAAGAGTTTGCTGATGGATTGGATGTGGAGTGTAAAGAAAAGGAATCAAGAACACCCAAAGGAATCAAGAACACCCCCAAGGTTTTTGGTTTAAACAACCGGAAGAATGGGACTGCCATTTGAAATGGGGAAGATCTGCAGGAGAGGATTTTTTTTGGGGGGGGGAGGGGTAGAGATTTTGGTTTCAGTTATGCCAAGTTTACTTATTAAATATCCAACAGGGGATATTGAATAGGCAGTTGAATGCACAAGTCCTGATCTAGGCTAGAGATTTCAGTTTAGGAATTGTAAGTAAATAGATGATACTTAAGGTCATAAGAGTACATGTTGATAAAGCAAGGGACTGGGTCACTCGAATGCTGAGAGGTCAATGCAATGAGGAAATATTAGTGAAGGAGAATATAAAGGAGGAACCAGGGTGGTAGGAAGCAATGCAGGAGAAGTCCTATCCTGGAGGAAAATAGAAGAAATGTTTAAAGAAACAAAATGAGTGATTGTAAAGAAAAAGTGTTAAATGCTGATAGGGCAAGATAAGGACTGAGGACAGATAATGGCATATGGCAAAATCGGTGTCACTGGTGGCCTAGGCAGGGATTCAAGAGAGATTGGGAAGGAAGATATGGAGGAAGTTGGGTCATTTTCATGTGTTATTCTTGCTATAATGAAGAGCAGGAATGTGGGTGGTTTGGGAGAGGGACTGAGTCAAATGTGTTGTTTTTTTTTTAATGATGGATCCAATTGCATCATGTTCACAGACTGTCAGAAATGATGCTGTAAAGAGAACAAATGTTTAAGTTGTGAAGAAAGGTGATAACTGCAGGACGATGTACTTGAGTAGAGGAAGGACCTGGTTTCAGTGCACAAAAGGCAGGTTTGGTCTTAGCTGGAGGACAAACAGTCATTCATGCAAAACTGAGGAAGGTATATGAGTAAGTGATAGATTTGATGGTGGAAGCTTTTGTCTGTTCTCTGCTATTGTTTTCTGAGTAAAAGAGGAAAGGAAATTGTCTGGTGAGAGTGAGGGAGTTTTGAAGGTTTGAAGAGAGAGGAGGAAGTCTAAAAGAGTGAACTGGGAAAGCAGAATAATGGATTTTTAGGGAAATGTAGTATTGCAAAGTAACTCTAAAGGCCTGTCTAAAGTGCATGGTCCTAAGTTTAAGTGATAATAGACTGTTTCTTCTAGGCATGTTCAGCTACTTGGGTGTAAGTATGGATTGGGTAGGAAGTTAGTTTTACCAGTATTGGGGTTTACCAGTTGGATATAACTGAGGGAGCAAGGATAAGGTTATTGAAGGTATATGTAAACAAGGGAAAATAATGAGAAGCTAGAAAGGAAAAACTAAAATTTGTCTGCAGGTGGAATGTGCCTTTATTCTAGTCCACTTCTGAATAGAGAAAAAGAAAGAAATCTTTGGGTTTTTGCACAGCAGAGGAAACCATCAACAAAACAAAAGACAATGTACTGAATGGGAGAATATATTTGCCAAAGATACATCTGATAAGAGGTTAATATCGAAAATTTATAAAGAACGAATACAATTCAATGTGAAACCCCCCCACAAATAATCCAATTAAAAATAGGCACAGGACCTGAATACACACTCCTTCAGAGGACACAGATGGTCAATAGATATATGAAAAGATGCTCAATGTCACTGACCATCAGAAAAATGCAAACTAAAACCACAATGAGATATCACCTTATATCTGGAAGAATGGCTAAAATCAACAAATCAACAAACAGCAAGTATTGGCGAGGATGCGGAGAAAAGGGAACCCTTGTGCACTGTTGGTGGGAATGCAGATTGGTGCAGCCACTATGGAAAACAATATGGAGGGTCCTCAAAAAATTATGAATGGAACTGCTTTATGAACCAGTGATTCCACTTCTGGGTATATATCCAAAGGAACCCAAAACACTGATTTGAAAGAATATATACACCTCTATGTTCATTGCAATGTTATTAAAATAGCCAAGGAAGCAGCCCACGTGCCTATCAATAGATGATTGGCTACAGAAGATGTATTGTACATATATAATGGAATATTACTCAGCCATTAAAAAAATGAAATCTTACCATCTGTTACAGCATGGATGGCCTTGGTATTATGCTAAGCGAAATAAGTTAGTCAGAGAAAGGCAAATACCAAATGATTTCACTTACATGTGGACTTGAAAGAACAAAATAAAAGAACACACAAAATTAAAACAGAGAATAGACGGATGGCTGCCCGATGGGAGGGGTTTGGGGGACTGGGTAAAAAAGGTAAAGGGATTAAAGAGTACAAACTGGATGTAAATTATAGCATAGGGAATATAGTCAATAATATTGTAATAACTATGTATGGTGCCAGGTGAGTACTGGAACACTTTGTAAAGTATGTGATTGTCTGAGCACCATGCTGTACATCTGAAACTCACACAAAATAATACTGAATGTAAACTGTAACTTTAAATGAAAAATTAAAAAAAAAACTTTGGGAAGGTCTTTCAGGATATCTTAAGCTCAGTGGATATCTGCCAGGGTAGGTGTTTGGGTGGTGTCTGTAGGGAGGATCTTGGGTAACTGACTTGAATTCCCATACCTGTTCATCTCAGCTCCAGTATAAGAATATTGAGGATCAACTATCTGCTAGGTACATCACATACATTACCTTTAATTCTAAGGACAGTTTGGCAAGGCCTTAGTTTTTCTCATCCTCAGTCTGCAGATGAGAAAATTGTAGTTGATATGTCTAGTGAGAAGTGGAGTGGGGGTTCAAACCCAGGTCGAGAGCACTCGGATCTTACACTTTCCCCACTGTATCTTTTTGTCTCTTTTCTGCTGTTGCTTCTTTCATGATTCTCCCATCCCTAAACTGAGGCACTCTTGTTCCATTTTCTTTCCCCCGCTCCATCCTCTCCATATCTTCTTGTCCTAGTTAAAACTTGGCTATGCCTTAAATACCCCACAGGGCTCTTTATTGCTCAGCAGAGACCCCACCAAATCCCATCTTCGAGGAGACGAGGAGACATCAGTTCTCCTCTTGCTCTCTCATCCTATCCTCTAATCACTGACTACCCGCCACCACATTTATGAGACATTGAACTCAACATGCTATTGTCCCTGATTCCCAGATCTACTCACACCTTCCTGGGTGATATCAGCATTGTCCTTAGCATGTGCATATGTATGTGTGGGTATTACATATAATATATTGTCAGAATAATATAATATACTTATTACATACAATGTAAACATATATGATAAAAATGTTATATTTATATTATATAAATATAAAGTATATACTAATTTAAAATATAATAAGATATATATTCTTTCTGCAGTAGTAACATCATCCAAGTTATAGTTTAGCCTCAAGTTTCTCTAATTGTTCCAAAATATCCTTTAGAGTTGCTTTTCTGTGTTGCTTTGTTTTCCATTTTAAATTCAGGATCCTATCAAGGTTTACCTAGTGCATTTTAATGTCTTGTCTCTTTATTCTTCCTTAGTTTAGAAAGATCCCCTCTTGGTGTCATCTTGTTCAGCTTTGTTAGATCAATATACTTTCTCTTTAGAGTCAAGTTGCTTAGATATAGGGATCACCTATCACACACCAATGTATCTACTACCCCTTCCTCAAACACTCAGCAGGTGGGGTTGCTTAGGGCGCTGATACGGAGCAGTGGTTAAGGTTGTTGATTCTAAATGCATGAAGGCCTGTCCTGGCTGGGTGCCTCCATATGGGATGACATTGGCATGTCATCCCATATACTAAAAGGCTGTGGGTTCAATTCCTGGTCGGGGCACATATCTAGGTAGCAGGTTCAATCCCTGGTAGGGCATCATGCAGGAGGCAACCAATTGATGTTTCTTTCACAGATTAAAGTCTATCTGTCTGTCTGTCTGCCTGTCTCTCTCCCCCTTCCTCTCTTTCTAAAATCAATAAACATATTCTCCGGTGAGGATTTAAATAAGTTAAACTCAAGAAGGCTCATGTTCAAATGATGGCTCCATCACTTACTATCTAGGTGAGTATCTGCAGCCACTAAACTTTGTGGACTTAGCCTCCTCTTCTATAAAATGGGTAGTAAGTGCCTCAGAAGGTTGCTGTGAGGATTAAATGAGATACCAGTATACTGCTTAGCACAAGGTAAGCCCTTAACCAATGCTAACTTCTAGAATTCTTGTGCTAGTGAACACTAACTACACATCCATAGGAACTAGAAGACCAGGCAGTACTTAAGGAATGCAATGCTTTGACAGTGTGTGTGTGTGTGTGTGTGTGTGTGTGTGTGTGTGTGTGTGTGTCTGCTGTGGGGGTGGGGAGACTGTACTGGGGAGGATGCAGACCAGGTTGGGTTGTTAAAATAGGAAGTGGGTAAGTTACTGAAAAGCAATTTGATCAGGGAGTGGAAAAGCTTGGAATTTGGTTCACTAACTCATTGTGTGACTTTGGGCAAGTCACTCAATTGTTCTGGCACTTAGTGATCTCCTATGTAGAACTTTGTGTTTAGAATGGAACATCTCTAAGCATGTTATAATTCTCGATCTCAAGATGAAAGAATGCATCTTCTTTTGGGTACAAGGGGAACAAATCATAGTTGAGGGAGATTCTAGAAAAGCAAATAAAGATGGTAATACCCATTTTTATGGACCACCTCATCTATGCCACATCTGGTGTTAATTGCTTCGCATATATCATTTCATTAATTTCTATAACAACATGCTGAGGCAGTTATTATTAAATCCCTTTGCAGATGTGAAAATGAAAGCTTAGAGAGGTCTAGTAACATAAACAAGGTCACTCAACTACTAAGTGGCAGCATTAAGATCCAATCTGAGAGTGCGTGACTTTGAAACCTCTTCTCTTAACCACCATCTCACTCTGTAGAAGAGACAGGTAAGGAGACCAGCGTACCCTAGGCTGATAGGATGCTCATTTAGGACTTTGGAAAAACAGCTTTTCATAGCCTATTATTCCTTTTTCTCATACACCACATTTCCATCTTATTATATGCTCTCAATTTTAAAACTTCATGAAGAATTTCTGGGGAAAGAAAAAAATTCCCAAGATATCAACAGGAAGCCAGCTACAAACAGTTTGTTACGTGATACACAAGTCAGTGGCAAAGTGAGAAATTAAATCCAAATTACATATTTCTATATAATCTTTCTCCCAAATTTTTTTTGGTATGAAATCACTGATTCTGAGACATTACACAGCATAATTGAGAAACTAAAATAAGTGATTAAAATTACATTGGTTAGAGCTTAACTACAATTTTGAATATGGTTTATTGCTTATAATTAGTATGACCATAAATTTATCATCCTGAGGGACTTTTAAAGGGAGGGGGTGCTATTAATGAGTACACCAAGAAAACAGGTATAAACTGGGATTGTTCTAGAAAAACTATCTAAATTAATGACTGGGGTGTCATTAATTACCATAATATTTATGGTTTTGCTTTTAGACAACATATCAATCATGAGGGAGCAATATTCAGTAATGCTTTCTCACTAAATGCTTTGTCATACATAAAATTAAAGCATTTTAAAAATGGAATTGTGAGTATAAAATTGAAAATGCTGAACTTTAATGTGAAGTGTATTACCTTTCATCAGTCTTAAAACATTGATTCTGGAGTTCTCTCTGTTGTCTTCGTCCTCTTAAACTAGGGTTATGTTCCTTTGGTCCAGAACGAGTGGGCAAAAATTCCTTATAATAGAAATCTTCCAAATCTAATAATTTCCCCTGACTGCAAATGAACACATGAACACACCACAGTATCAATCAAATTTTCTATTCACTATAACTTATAGGACACTTGCTTTCTTCCTTTAAAGTATTTACTGTAATTTAAAGTCACATACACATGTCAATAAAATAGGACTAGTTTTAAAATGTGCAAAAATAGCACATGCCATAAATTTAAAAAAAAGTAAAACACTTAGGTTTTACTTTTAGGAGAATATTAGCTGCTGGAGGGGCTTTTCCTGGTTCTGTCACATTCAACTTGGCACAACAGTAGTAGTTACCAGATAGCCAGTAATTACAATGTTCCAGTTTGGCTAGTGTAGGTCAGAGTTCACAAAAGACCCTTGGGCCACATTATATACTACCATATAGCATTTTATGCTTTTATCAATCATCAATACATTGATGTACACAATGTTTCATGATCTTACCTTACGTCCTTTACAGATAACCTTCTGTCACGTCTCTACCCATTGGTCTTTAGAGAATTATTTTTTTGTGCTAGATTTGAATTCCTGCACATGACATACACATGGGGTGTGTCCTCAAACATGTTTATTTCTTGAATTTACTCGGACTGCAGGTCTGGCACCTGCGGTGCTCAGTATCTGCAGTCTGATGGGACTTCATATGAGACAACCAGGGTCAGGTCTGGGCAACTGTCAGATGTTATGGTGCTTCTGAGGAAAAGAGCTTTATGAGCTCCAGACAGCAATTTATAAATGAACTTTCCGAATGCCATCGATTCATAAATTAGGAGCTCTGTGTCTGTTCATGCTTAACAGAAGAACCCTCAATTGGTATTAGCATTACCTGGAAATTGGTTGATTGAAATAGTAAAGTATTGGTCATCTGAAATATTATAGGAAAAGGGGAACAGTATGAATTTAAGTATGCAACACCTACAGGAGACACAAACCTTATCTTCCTAACAAATCCATAAGAGTGAGATTTAGCATGTCTTGTCTCCAAGAACAAAAAGCAAAGAGGAGTTTGGGGAAAGAAAGTTATGGACATGGGCATGTTCAAATTGCCCAAATCATATCAACGAACCAACCCGCCCCTCAACAAATTGTATATTGGGACAGTATAATTTATTCAAAACTATTTGAGTTTTTAACGTATGCCTTGCACTGTGCTAGCTCAATGTATTTCCAGTAGACAAGGTCTCAAACCATGTGCAGGTATTTATAACATAAATGCATTAAGAGCGCACTACCTTCTAAATCTATCTACATACAACTGGTGATTCTTAATCTAATTTGAACATATAGATTTGTATTTTCATTTGATAACATTGAAATTCAGAAAAAATAATTACCTATCTTTCCTTGGTCTTCGTTTTTCTTCTTGGATTGACTTCTAAAGGGAACAGAATAATTTTTAAAATCTATAAATATTATGATATTAATATAATATGATTGGTATATTACTATAATCTTAATATATAAATACATTTATTCCTATAAAGCTAACGTAGAAATAAACAAGCATACACAATATTTTTAAGATCTGAATAAATATAATTACTAATTTTACTAATTATGAATTTATGACTATTTTTCCCAGGACTGGACTAAAATTAGCCTTTGTATTCCATTAAAAAATTATTTACCACAGTGACCACTATACACAAGATTACATAAGGTCTGTCTACCTAAAAATGGGAGGGAAAAGTCAGAATTTCTGGGAAATCGACCTCTCTTCACAAATGCAGTTGTGATTTATGCAGATAATAAGGCTGCTTTGATGTCTTGTTTCTATGTCATCCTTGTCTGCAGGTAAAGCAGATGGGTAGATAGTGAGGGCAGCTGCAACCATTTACAAAGGAATGAAATCGACATCACTAACCTTTAGGAGCCCATTTATGGCATAAAAGTAGCAGCACAGATGATACATATGTTCATTTGCAAAATGTTTTCATAGTTGAGAACTTTATGTATTGAGGTACAAATGAGAGTATTTAAGTGTACATATGATTAGATATATTTCAACCAGTACTTTAATTTGAATAACAGAATGGTACTTTACAATACATACAAAGCACTATTGTCTTTGGTATCGCAACACTAGTACTGTGTTTCCCTGTGTGCTAGCTCAGTATATTTGAGCTCATATATTTACATGTTAGAAAAGCATCTATGTCTCTCGGACTGAAGAAAGATAATGCCACACTCACCTTGAGCAAGCTGAAGATCTAATTGTAGAAACCCTAATGCAGATATCAAGTTGGCTGGCACCATAAAAGTGCAAGATAATGAAAGTGGTAATTAATGATGGTTTGTAAGTATTGAGGGTTTTCGCAGTATTTTTAGACATGCAAACATTTTTGCTCATGATTTATCATTTGTAATACACTACAATGTTGGCTGAGTCAAACAGTTCATAGTTTTTAAACTACTCATTGGCTGTTATTTTAGTGGGTGGATGAGGCAGAAGTGAATGTTTAAATGTATCAGGTCTGGGAGTGGACCATTCAGAAAACAACAATGTAAGGAGCAGGACACCAATTACATTCCTGTCCTCCTTCTCATTTCCTATTACTTCACATTCTTGACCCAATGCCCGAGGCCAGGAGGTGCTCACAAATAATTACATTACCAGCATAAGTACATGGCCCCTAGTGGTCCACTTAATGATCCCTGGGACCAGGGTGGTGTTTGCTGTGGTTGCTGCTATTGTTTTAATATGACACAGGTCCTGTCTTTTTGATCCACTGTCTGGAAAAAAGTCTGTTTTGTTCTTAAGAACAATTTTCTACAGTCCAAAATTATGCTGAAATGATGGCATGATGCCGAGAGGCAAAGATCCCCTTCATACAACCAAGAATCAATCAAATAACATTCTGCCCTTGAAATCTCAAGCTGGCCAGGACCTTTTTGAATTCTGGATCAGCCTTTCTCCCTGGGAGGTAATATATACAAATTGGTTCTCAGTTACAGGAATTCTTAGAAGAGGAAATACTGTCCAGGCTTTATTTTCATTCTTGCCTGTGTTAGAATATTCTAATGAAATGTAATTTGACAATAAACTTTTCCAAAAAATATTTAAGAGGGTTTATCATAGAAGCAATTATACAACCAAGGTAATAAAACAGAAGCTGTAAATAAGAAAGAGGACAAAAGCGCAGTGTGTTAAGATGGAGCCTCACGTTTCTCTCCTAGTTTCATCGCTGCTGAGTCCGGAAGGGAAGCGTGAGACTGCTTCCCTTCATCACAGGGAAGGAAGCACAGTGTACGTCGTGGGAGAGGATTTCATGTAAGTGTTAACCCATGGGACTCTATTTTAGGGGCATTTATAGCTACGATGAACAATGCTTTTAACTATAGTTTTGAAATTATGAATTTCCAACTTAAAATTTGAAATGAAAATAAAGCAGCAAATGTCCTATGGCAGTTTCTTAGGGACCAGGAACAAAGACGAGTGAAAGACAAGGAGACTTGAGGAGGAGATAGTCCCAAGAGGGTGTTTCTCGAGGAGGCCTTGAGAGACCCAAGGCCTTAGCTCACAGGACTTTGAACACTGGTCTGCATCATGTCCCTTTCCCTCTTACCTGACATAAAGAAACACATTTTATAACAATATTTTAAATTTCACAGCCATTATATTACAGTAGATACAATCTTACATTCCTTTTGGAACTATACCAACACTTTATTTATTTAGAGGTCTTCACAGGGATGAAGAAAGTAGCCAAAATATAGGGAGGCGGGAAAGATCTTGGAATGGCCAAACTACCTACTGCAGTCAGGGGAGGGGCTGGAGAAAATAATAAACTGGAAGGTCTTTGAAATGGTGTGTTCAGTTACTCTTTTGAAGAAACCATTGGCCCGTGAGTTGTTTCGCAGATGTCTGCCCAGCCTCTAAGTGTTAGAGCAGCCCCCCGACACCGTTCCAGCGGGGTGCGCGTGCCCAGCGAAGGTTCTCCCCTCTGGGGGCGAACATTCTGAGAATGTTCTTCTCAGGCTCAACCTGCTCGTATGTTGGACATAACTATAGCAACAACATTCCCCAGATGTAAGGGCTTAAGAGCATCAAATCATAGAAGAGAGCTGGTATGGGTGTGAAGGCAGGCAGAATGACCATAGTAAGAAGTGACATCCAAGGAGAAACTATAAAAATAGGTAAAACGACCGAAAGCACAGCTGTCCATGATGGGCAGGCTCAGGGCCATCATTCGCACAGCTCGGCAGCCCCTGTACCACAGGGGAGTGTTATTTACCAAACAGTCTTCTACCGACGCGTGACCCCCCATAGCCCAGCAACAGGGGGGCTGTCACAGGCAGCAAAGTCCCTGCCTTCATAGAGCTTATAGTCTGCGAGGGAGAGTCAGACAGGAATCAAGTAGAGAAATAAATATTTGTAAATGCTCTCAAAACAAAAATGAAGCAGGGCCGGGGGATGCAGAGAGACGGGTGCTGCCTTAGACATGGGGGTCAGGGGGCCTCGCTGATAAGCGTAGATCTGAATAAAGTACACTTTCGCTCATTACAGTGACCCGGGGTCATCAAGAAAAGGTTTAAAGTGTGTAGGATATTTTAGAAAGATTTTCATGAAAACCACTTAAAATTGCAGTGTTTTGTTGGGAAAAGGGTGTGGGGCCCCATCATTTCTGTAATTTCACCTATGTGTAGCACCCCAAACCCGGGGCAGGGCCAGATAGATATGAACACCTCATCTGTTTTCATTGATAATAACTGACTAGTTTTCTCTGCTTTATTTTTCACTGAAGCCACAGATTTAAAGACTCGGGGTTATAAAAAGGATTCTAGTCACTAATAACTTAAGATGTTTTAAAACAGTTTATATTCATTAAAAAACTAATAGTTCAATGACAATGTAATATTTTGGGGAGCAGGGAGTCATTTGTGACACTCAGGATCTGCTCCAGTCTCACTGACTGGTTGGTTCTTAGTCATAAACATCCCTCCTTGTCTCTCATATCAAGAATGGTACCTGTTGTTGAAGCCACAGCAGCCAAATGTCATTCTATTGGTAATTAATAAATCTTACTGAGCATCACTTACTACTTATATTCAAGGTTAATAGGACATGGTTGGCCTTTTCTAATCTTATTCTCTGCTGCTTGGCCTTGGAAGTATTCTGGGCTTTATGCTAAGGGCGTTGCTGAGCTATAAAGGGACAAGCAAGGAAGGAAGACAATCAAATTGATGGTTTAGAGAAATTTTCTAGTACAGGCTTGAGAGGCTGAGATTAGAAGCACTTGTGTAGGGCCTGAGGCATTTATGGTGAGGAATGACGAAGGTCTGAAATAAGGCAGTGAGCTTAGGAGAGGGAGATGAATGGGAGCCAGTCTTTGCTGGTAGAAGCCACACTTTAGAGTAAATGGTTAGATGTCAGGTATGAGAGAGTCCAGGTCCAAGATGACACCTGGTCTTGGCTTAGGTAATCAAATGTACGACGGTGGCCTTTGGAGAACAGGAAAAGGAGAGGAAGGGCAGGCTGGCAGGGGTGATGCACTGAGCTCGCATGCTGCCCGTGGTGAGTGAGAGACAGTACAATTAACGACCTTGAGAGCTAAGAAGTGCTTTATCTGCCTCTCAGAGTCCTGAGCAGGTATATGGGAATGCCCCCTTAAGGGTTGTTTCTAGGATTAGAGATCACAATGCAGGTGGACATGCCTCATTTCAGGCCTGGAATTTAAAAGGGAAGTGAACATAGCAGACATAACTAATTGCAGAAAAAATATGGAATAAATGTCTTGGAAAAGAAACAGAAATAAAGAATTACTGAAAAACAACTTTATGAATCAGATAAACATTTAAAAACTATTAAGTAAATTAAGAAATTAAAATTTTTGTAGTATATATAATGATTGTAGAAATCTTTTAAAAAGACCAACAATCTTTAGTTTTTATGAGATCCATGCTGAAATATTTATAAGTGAAAAGATACGATGCCTAGTATTTGCTTCAAAACCATTCAGTGGGGCTGGGGGTAAATGGATACAGGAAATAAGATTTGTTGAAAATTGAGGAAGATTGTGATGGATATAAGAGTTCATTATACCATTCTACTTTTGTATGTGTTTAATTTTTCCATAATAAAAGTCTTTGAGAGAAAAAAAATAAAAGGTGCTCAATAAATGTCTCTTTTTCCTTTTCCTTCCCTTCCTCTAATTTGACCACATCTCACCCACTCACATCAGGTCCCTCTCTGGAGAGCTCCTGCTATGACACAGCTCTCTTTCTTGGTTTGTATTTGCATCTCAGCTCAGATGAATGGATCAGCAGAGAAAACTGCTGGGAGGACATGGGGCTGCAGGACTGTAGGAGAGACCTGGATGGCGAGGAAGAGGGGCCTTGGGACAGCCAAGTGTCCAGATCCTCAGCCAAGGCCGGAATGGGAAGGCAGAAACTGAGGGGCATCTCCCTTTTACAGAGTCCTCCCTTTGGACAGACCTAGTGTGGTCACAGTTTTGTGAATGCTATGGCTCCCATCTGATGATAAGAGTGAGCCACTTACATGTAGCAGATAATAATATGTGCAGTCTTCAGGGTTATTTAATGTTTTGGGTTTCCGGGGCCGTCTTGGGGGTCTCAATATTTTTGGTTCCTCTCCTTTAGGGATACCTATAAGAAAGGTGATCATAAACAAGTATTCAATGACAAAGACTATAATCAAGCAATGTTTTTCTTTTGGAGTAAATACAATATTATACACATACCACTGGGGCTAGGGCTGGGAGAAGGAGGCAATACCTTTGTTTCCCCAACCGACCGTTATCATATTCCTCACCATGTGCTTCCTTCCAATAGTCTGGTGGTCTAAGACTCTGGGAGGTGAGGGGGAGAAAAGAAAGGGAGGAGAAGAAATACGTAGTTCGGTGACTTGGAATAGGGTACTGCAGTTCAGAGGGTGGATGGAGAGAGGAGACAAAGCTGCTAAAAAACTTTTAAAAGGGATTTTATGCTCATAAGGTCTTCTTTCTGTCCCCTTCTCTCCCTTTACTGACAGCCTTACACGTCCACCTGCTCCTCCAAGCAATGCCTGATCTTCACTTTAAAGCACCACCTCATGTAATGGCGCAAACAAGGAGCCTGCTTAGCTCCTTTTCTAGGCTTAACTCTAAGAGTTAGGCTTAACTCTTTTCTAAAAGCCTAATCTAACCTTTTGCCAACAATTTAGAACATCACACTATTAGAATTTTCAGACGTGACTTTAAAAATCTTGACCAAGAAAAAAGAACGTTTGACATCTTTTTCTGCCCTTTCTGTCAATATGGCTCAATATAGCCAAGTTCTCAAAGCTGTAGCAGCATCATCAGAGCATGCTTGGTTGTTAGTGTTCATTGTAAGTGTCTTTATATTCACTGAGCTAATAGGTCTCTCATGGAGTATTTCTGTCTATTTTTCATGGTTCTTGACACCCCACCTGCTGACTGCATTTGCACAGAAATGTCTGCTCGGTAGATTATCAAGGGATCTGGGTGCTTATTGGAGAACAGCCTACATTTAACAGATACTTGAGCATACATTTCTTAGCTGAACTTTAAGGATAGTAATAGATTATTGTTGTATATAATAAAGGGGCAGTAATGATCCCTAATTCTTAGATGTAGAATACACAGAGAAACTGAATTGCTCCAAACCAAAACTAATCAAATCAAGTCAAACAGAACCAAATCAAAGAACATTTAATATTTACTATGTGTAGACAACCATGGCAGGCAGTGCACATCAGCTGTAGCCGGAATGGAGGGGACACACTGATGTCTAACTTTCTAGTCCCCTGTCTGACCCACGAGGTGAACATTCATAGTCTAATGTCATCCAGTTCAATCATTTCAAAATCTATGGGAAATTGCTGGATGACGAAGATATATCGGCTAGTTGGGAGTACTTCTCAAAAGTGTAATGCATAGAACAATGCTAATCAGAGAAAACTATGACAATCATACATTACCATCCTTTTTTGAATAAAACAAAAGAAAATGAGGTCTTTGTTAACGACAGCATGTTAAATAGGGATCAGTAATAGACTAATTACAAATAAGGAGGAGTGAGAGCATTTTTCCAACCAGTCCCTGGAAGCTCATCTCCCATTCTGCCTCTTTCCTTTTTTTTTCTACAGGAATAGACAGCGGAAGGAATTTAAATATCCTCTCTTAAGACAGTCGGAGGCACAAAGAGAAATGATAAAACCTGAACTCTTGCCACCACCATAAACAGTGTGTTTTAAAATTATTTTCTTTCTCTTTGCTTACTATCTGCCCCAGTGCTGCTTAATAAATGCTTCTATTTGCTCTTGCAAAGTTTTATTATCTTAAAATGTATTGGTCATATTCACTTATATTACTTATTTGAATCTGAGTGGAAAGAAATATAAAAATATAGTATCAAGTTATTTTGTTTTTAGAAACATGAAGGTGACCTGTGACTGAATTTTAACTTGAGTGGTAATATTATTTAAAGCCTGAATTAAAATATCAGAACACTGCTATTGTAACAAAAATTAATTAAATTGAAACTGGCGAAGAATTTGAAGAACCACAAGGAGAGTGAAAAACAAGTCAGCTTCCGGGGATAAGAAAAGTTTTGCTCTTTTCTCCATTTTCTCATCAAAATTTCCCCATCCAATCTTATTTCTATTACCAAGACTTTACTGCAGCTGCCTTCTAGAAGGTCAAGGGTGGCCACTTTATTGACAAATCAGAGGCCCTTTATCTGTCCTTATTATCTCTGACTTCTTGATCATTTAACATTATTGACCAGTCCTTGCCTTCACGGCTCAAGATGAGGTTTCTGAGGGCAGACACCTTATCTTATTTATCTTTGCATTCCTGGCACTTGAGGCCATGCTGCACACAATAAATGTTGAATAGAAGTTTGCTGGATGAGTTAATAATCCCTTTGCCTTCTGGATCGAATCACACCCCTCTCAGCTCCTTGCACTTCCCACGACGTGCTCCACACTGAAGACTCCCTAGTGCACACCTCAGGTTTGACCCTCTCAGCTCCCCAGAGGTCTGGCCCTCATTTCTTACTGGATATTCCCATCTCAAACTTCCAGACTCAAAGGGGTCAGCAGTTGCCTTTCTTCTCCCTCTAGAGTTCTGCATACCACAACCTCACTGGCACCATTATTTCTGTCCCCGGGGTTCAAAAAACTGATGTCACCTTGTCTTTTCCCTCCTTTTCTTTTCCTATAAATAGGCGACCACCAACTTCACGTCAATACTGAAGTGGTATTTCAGGATAGAAAATCTGGTTTTCATTGGTCAGAAAGTTCATTTTTCAAAAAAACGTGTGAAGCTTCTTTTTCCTTCTTCATGAGGCCTAAACCTCTACATCCAGATTACTTACAATCAGCAGTTTCAACTGTACCTTCCACTTTTCCTCCCCAAATAACCATCTCCCCTGGTCTCAGCCTAGTTACCTCAGAGGGACCTCGGCCCCCCACGGTGATAGCTATCACTTCGCTTACTCTCACCTTCTCACAGCAGGCCTTGCCACTGCCCCCTGAAAGCTGGAGCATCTTTCAGTGTCCGTCTCCAGTCGCATCTCTTCCCTGAAGCCTTCACTGACCCTCCCATGATTTCCCGCTCATGTGAGCACCCGTGGTACTTACAGGCTGCACAAATCATTTGAAATGAGTTATGGGCTGGATCGTGATCCCTCTACATTCATATGTTGAAATCCTAAGCTCCAGTACCACAGAATATGTCTGTATTTAGAGAAAGTCTTTAAAGTGAGGTCATACAAGTGGGCCCTGACCCCACATGACTGGAGACCTTTTGTGAGGAGATTAGAACAGAGACACATGCAGAAGGAGGATGATGTGGAGGCACAGGGAGAACATGGCCACCTACAAGCCAAGAGGGGAGGTTGCAGAAGAATCCAACCTTGCCAATACCTTGATCTTGAATTTCTAGCCTCCAGAACTGTGAGGAAATAAGCTGCTGTTTAAGCCACCTAGTCTGTGCAACATTGTTACGGCAGCTCTAGCAAGACACATAAAAGCTTATTATTATTATTCTTTTACCTGTGATTTGTTTTTCTAAATAATGAGACCTTATGTTTTGGACAGTGGAGATCATGACTTAGGTTCTGATGCCCTCCTGCCTTCCTTGTCACTGGTGGTCTGCGTGTGCTAGGCGTTTGGAGATAAGAGGTTTGATTGATTCCATCTGAGCTTAGAGACACAGTGCTAAGTGAATAGTAGATGCTCAATATACTTTTGTTAACTGGATCTCCATTGTTACCAGATTTAAAAATAAATTCCTAATGCTTTAAAGAAAAATGTAAATAAAAACCCATCGAAACTCTTGAAAGAAAACCCAGAGGCTTCATGAACAATCTAGGGGCACAAATGTCTTTTTAAAAAAAATCCTCACCCAAGAATATGTTTATTGATTTTAGGGAAGAGGGGGAGAGAGAGGTGAAAGAAAAACATCAGTTGGTTGCCCCCCATACATCCATCCATGCCCTGACTGGGGATGGAACCCACAACCTAGGTATGTATCCTCAGCAGGGATCAAATCTGCAAACTTTTGATGTAAGGGATGATGCTCCAACCAACTGAGCTGCCCAGCCAAGGCACAAATGTCTTAACCAAAATTCAGGAGCCACAAAAAGGCAGAGATAGCTGCCCATTAAAAAAAAAAGCCTTAATAGGACAATGAAATCAAAAGACACACAATAGATTTGAAAAACTATATCTATAACACAAATGCCAAATAAAGGGTTGATATTTCTAATATATGAGTGCAAGCAAATGACTACAAAAACACAGACTGACAGAAAAATGAACAAAAGATATAAACAGGAAAGTCAAGATGAGCAAATACAAAAGGCCAATAAGCATGGAAGGCACCTAATTGTTCTAGTAGACAAAAAAATATAAATTATAACATTGAAATATCATTTCACTTCAGACACATTAGCAAAGATTAAAAAGAAGGATAATATCTTACTGGATAAGATGTCAGAAAAAGTGTATCCTCACAAACTGTGGAAGGAAATGTCAATATTTAGGGCCTTTTCATAAAGCAATCCATCAGATCCAAAAATCCCTTTCAACTCAGTTACTCCAATTTTGGGAACTTATCCCATAAAATTAAAATCCTAGGATACAGAGATATTTTCAAAGATGTTTACTGCAACATTTTCCATAGTGGCAAAAAATTTAAAAAATGGATATCTGACAATAGAAAAATGGTTATATAAATTATTGTGATCCACACATGGAATATTATATAGCCAGTGAAAAGAATACATAAAGCAATTCCTGTTGATGTGTAGGTATTCCTGCTAAAATATTGAGAAAGAAAAGCGAGATACATAAGTATTAACATTATGATCTTATTTATATGAAAGAATGACACAAATCTCCATTTGTCTGTATGCATATATAAGTACATGGAGGCATATCTGCAAAAAATTAAATAATTCATATTTTATAATAAGGGAGAGTAATGTACATTAGAGAACAGAGGGGTGGGGAAGAAGGAAATAGGACAAAAACAGAAAATGAAAAAATATTGCATAAAAAGAATCCTGGAATGTATGGTATGGTGACATTTATGTAAAGTTATAAATTTACATACCTGTATATGAATCTCATAGGAATA